TTTTTTAACCTCTACAAAATGTTTTGGAGAGAAATTAAGAAATTTTGTTTTTTTATGGTCAAAACTGGGAAAAATCTATTTTTACCCCATAAAACCCCCCATAAACACCCGTTCCCATAGTCCGATTATGCTGGCTCGTGAACTCGTTCAAATAAACGTAGGTTTACATGTTTGTACTAAATGTTATCAAAATCGGATCATTTTTGCTCGAGTTATCGTACTAACAGACACACACATATATATATGTATTATATATAAATATATATATATATATATATGCATTTGAATGGATGGTGTTTTTGGCCTCTGGGGACCTCAAAACAAAAAAGTAAATCGGTCCCGAGTCTAGGTCTTACCATGAGACCTGCGGTAATAGCTTATTCCCTATATGGGAAATTCGCCAAAAAGCAAACAGTTCATTTGCAAGTTTCACATATAGCAAATAAGCTGTTATTACTGTAAGTCTTATGGTAGGTAATACCAAAGATTACATGTAATCTTTGGTAATACCATTGACTATTGGATAGAGAAATATCAATAGTCAAAGGTAATACCTAGACCCAAGACTGATTAACATTTATTTTTCATGACTCAGAGGCCAAAAAAACTAAATCTATTCAAATTCATTGTACTTAGGTCTGTAAGACAGAAGTTATTGTTAAAATCATATGAAATTAAATATAAAGTTTACTCATGGTAATGCATCAAGAAAAGAGATTTACAATGTAATAAGTTTTGCGAAACAATGATTGCTAAAATTCTCACGTGATACTTGTAAAAAATGTTGTTTTAAAACCCTTTTGAAACGCTCAAACTTGTATATCTTGTAATTGGGTAAAAAGCCGATGTCATTAAAAGTTAGTTGGCGTCTGGTATCTGACGTGTAGGTGAAAGCTCTTTACAACTTTATAATAAAATTGACACAAGAAACCATCCAATTTTTTCTGAAGAATCTTCTGAAAACTTTTGTAATTGCATTTAAAGAGAATTTCAAATAAGTCAATTTAGGGACATACTAAATAATAATTACATTTTTCGACAAACTCATATACTCCTGTAATTAATATATAAACACTTTCTCACCATTATCATAGATTTCTCATCCTTATAAAACAGCTGAAGACAATTTTATTGTTAGTTCTGGCAGTGCACTGTAGAGTGTAGAGGTCTTGTTTTGTGTATGTTTTAGTTCACTTTGACAACTACTAATGTCCAACCAGTTTGGTTACTGTTTTTTGCAAAGTAAATTGGTTTTGGTTATCGTGTGTCAGAAAGGTAATAAGAGTACAGCTAGGATTTCCTAGCAGTGTCCAGACATAGCAAAACAGTAGACAGTAAGGTTTTCTCATAGTTTGCAAGACAGTTTCCCCAGGGATAACTCATGTCGCTTCCGCTTGATCTAGAGTTTGGTATAAATTGAAGGGCTATTGTTAAAGCCATTTTATGTCTATGCAACGAGAATATATAAGCAGTCATAAAGTATTTCCAGTAAAGAAAGCCGAGTTCTGGAACACTGACAGAGTTGAATGAAATTTGTGTCACAGTTTGATTTCAGTGAAATTTGTACTCACAGACTCACAGCCTTACTTATAACATTGATAACTTACATACATATGTTAATAGTTATGAGTCAAACCTTTGACTATTAATAGAACTATCTAGAAATTCCATCTCTGTGTTAAAGTTGCCAGATTTTCAAATCAAAATGGATGTAGTTCAAGTGAGCCACCGGTGGTGTAAATTACTGGTTCATTTCACATGCAGGATTTTTACTAAAAAAAACCTGATAGGATGATTTGTTGTAAGCTATAGCATCTATTATGGAACATAAACTATCTCAGTAACAATAAATAAGGTATAAAATAGAATTATATAGACACTAGCACAGTCTGTGTCTGTCTGGTTAACTCAACTAGGTACATAAAAAAAAATTGCCTAGATGAGATGTCTTCTTCAGCATACAAAGTCAATGGTTATAGGCTACTGAAAATTTAGTCATTTATTTTTTATCTGTAGATTTTTTTAAATTTCTTACTTCATAAAAGATCATAAAACATGATTTCTCTGCTCTGCTCAACTGGCTTGCACTGCTCTGAATGCAATTTCGGTTAGTACTGGTAATCCAAAAGCCATTTTATTACCACCATTAACTCTTTGTTTGCGATTCACATTTTACTATGTGGACATGTAAAACCTGCAATCAACAAACTTATAAACTGATTAAATGCATCCAGAATACACCACGTAAAGGAAGAACACCTGAGACAAGTGATAGAACACTAGAACGCCTCATAATGTCAGGTTCTTTAGAAAATAACTTCTTGTTTAGCCTTGTACCTGTTACTAAATTTACTGAAAGAACATAACAATAATTTTATTACATACTGTTGACTTACAAGACGGTAACATATACTTTTATTTTCATTGAAATGGTGACCATAGAAAGTAACTTAGGTATTTTAAGCCAAGTATGAATGGAAATAAGTGTAGGATGAGTGGCGTGATCTTGTAGTCTTAGTGACTAAGGCCGACATGTTCCTTAGACACAGCTGTTAATTAATAGCTCATACAGCCAATGGCAACTAAGGGACCATACCTACAGTTTATAGTGGAATTCGAACCACATTTTCGCCTTGTATGCCTAATTGGTATAACTATCAGGATAGTACTGCGGATAGTTGTAGTAGTCACTATTGCGGAAGTTAATCCACACCAGGGAGTATCGCATACACAGCGCATGCCTATAAATGTCCACAATTCGTGACCTCCAAGTAGCTGAATTACAGGACGACACCAACCCCAGTCTATACTTTGTATATAAATGAGTCCAATTTGTATATACTTGCATATAAAATATGGCAACTATACCACTGGTGATCGATTTCAATTGGACCTATTAAATCCAAATCGATGTCCAAATTTATATCGATCACCACTTACCATCTTTAATATGTCACCGTATTGTGAGTCAACAATATAATTGTAAATAAATATGCTATAATCGTTATTAGACGTTATTTATGTACTTACAGCTTCAGTTAATGAGAAATAAAAATAAGGAGAGGACTGGTTCTTCAGCTGGTATTATCAATCAAAAAGTCCAATTCAATTACCAAGTATGTTTGCTGTAATGTAATATTGATGGGGGCGTCATAATTATCTGTAAATCATGAGTGTAATACATGTAATGTACCATATACGTACTCACATTTGAGTTAACTTGACGGATAAAGTTAGGCTATTATTAAATTTGCATGCATGAACTAGCCAACCTAAAAGTTTTTGTTGCCTCCAAAAACAATTATATTCTAAGCGCACATATGTTCACAGGAACTCATATTGTCATGCCTGAAATAACTTTGCTTCAAAGTTTTATTAAAACTCTCTCCCAGCACGGTAATTTATTAAACAAATCCCAGTTTTGTCCTCTCTTCAACATTTTTTTGTTTGATAATTTTGCTCTAAATCTGCAGGTAAAGCTTAATTATGTTATTTTACAAGTGAGGTCTTACTGTTATAAACAGTCCTTCAAATAACCCAAAGCCTCTACCCATTTGGATACCGCCTTCTTACGAGGTAGCAAAATGAATAATAGTAGTAGCAAGAGTACCACACGTATTGCACCGGTGGAAGGAAAAACCATAGGTGTGCTATTCCCGTCATATGCTGACGTCACCCAGATTGCAAACAAAGGTCGCCTGGTTGTATTGCCATATAAGTATATATTTGTTTTGATTTGATTGTTATTGTTTTTTATAATTTTTGTCTAAATGGTGAATTGGTGTTAGCAGTCTGGGTGACGTCAGCATATGACAGGATTATCACACCTATGCTTGTTCCTTCCACCATGGTATTGCACAGTCCCAAGGGTTAGTTTACATCTATATAGTAATACTATAGTTAAACATCTTCTCGAAGACTTTAGACTGAATAATTATAACTAATTTGGATATTACACTAGGACGGAAATGACGGGACTTTTTTACTTATAAATATGTAATTTACAAAAACAATTATATAAATAAATATCTTGTACCATTGCTTGTACTAGGCCTACCACTGACTCGAGACATAGCCTCCTCTAATACAAGGCCATGACGTTGGTGTATGGCAACATTGCACCGGCCACCTGTTACCATGGTGATAATAGTAATCACTAATGTGTAAACATAACATTGCACAGACACTCTTCAGCGGTTTCAGTAGGCCTGGATTGCGGTTTTGCCAATTTTATATTTTGTGGATTCTCACCAAGCAAAAATTTTTTATTTCAGTGTTTGGTTAGCAAATTTTGGACAATTATATAGGTACCTATATAAATATTCAATTTTGAAGTAAAATTCTGTTTTTACTTTCTGATATTTTTGCTTTTATTAAAATAGTTTTGATACTATTTCTAATGGTCAAGGGAAATACATATTTGTAATTATTGTGCCCAATAGGATATAAAAGTTAATAAATCAAAGAAAGAAAAAATATAATAAAAAAAAAATAATTTTGTATATTGAATTTAATTTTTTTGCAAATAAAAAAATACATACAAAATCAGGATGATTAATATCTTTTTCACGATAAATTCTATTCATGTGATCCGGTTCCATTCATATCACTTAAAGTGTCCATGAAATCTAATTCTAGTAAATCATTCATTAAACCAATAGGGTACCATTCGTATTTGCCCCAATATAAACATATAAGGAAAACTAAGCAATGAATGCGGACGCGAGGACAGATAGCCGGCGAGGGCCGCTGGGTGGGCCCGTGTGCAAGAGGTTTTAGGTGTTTTGGGTCAAGGAAGAGAAAAATTTAGCCACAAGGTGGAGAGGGGCGAAATTATCTCTCGAATATTGCATCACATCAAACCCGGCAATCAGAAAACACCTTACCAACAACAACCCAACAATCCGTTATCATTGGACAAATATAATGCTGTGTTTCTCATGACAACTTGGATTCACAGTTTTAAGCCATATAGGGAATAGATTTGGCATTATACACTCTTAACAAGCATATGAAATATATTTAACATCATATACACATTACCGGTACTTCATGAATACAAAGTTCAACTAAAGTTTATATTTTGAAGTAGAATTTCAATTTTATTTTTGAGCAAATACTCTTCTAAAAATTAGGCGAAAACATATAATTTGTCAACTGTTCTCCATAACTCCACCCATGTTTTTTGTTGTCCTTTTTAGTACTTTGTCTTTATAATAAAATATTTTTTATTTGCTTTACATTGATTTTAAAATTCTCGTGTAATCTTATTTTCAGACATTGTAATATTACGCAGATAAAAGTAATTAATTTATAACATTGTACATTTTAAGAGGAAAGAAGACAGCTGCCCAGAGGAAGAACCCTACGACGAAGACCCCAAATAGGTGAGGGTGACCCATGATCAGGCGCGGCCTAGGCACCTTAGACCCCGACACCTGTATGGATACACACGCATGAAAACCTCATTTGATTACTCTTACACTACAATATGATGTGCATACCTATATAGAACAAGATTTGTTGCTATCTAAATTGATTGAAAATCTGTATCTTCCGTTACGGTACTGTTACATTTGATTTGCATGTATATTTGTATATTTTCAAAATAGTGTTTTGCTATTTGTCATTGAATATTATTTTTAGCAAAAGGTCACATTTTGCATCCTCGTAGGAAGTACAACTTGACAGATGCTGACTTATCTAAGTTGCCCAGGGTCTTGTGGCTTGTTAGCATAAACTTGTGACCTGACACATAAAAAAAATAGTCTGTAGCCATTATATCATACTTTTATATTTATGTCAATTTTGATCGGTTAAATAATAAAATAGTATATTACTTCATCACTAGGGCCTAAAGTGACTAATTTTGACTCGAGGAAGTTTTACGATCGAGGCGAAGCCGAGGTCGGAAAATGAGCGAGGGTTAAAAAACACTTTTTTGCCCGTGTGATGAACCATATTTTTCGTCATATTGCATCATTAATTAACAAACTAAGCTAGAAAACGAAATAAATATCATGTAAGACATAACCTCTCAAAGCGACTTCCAACGAGCGACTAACAATCGAAATTTTCAACTGTTAACAACAGCTGATTTTTACTCCCTAGGGACTAAAATGATTCAAAAATAATACTTTAGATCCATAATGCATGCAGTAAAAACGACTGTTTTTGCTGCAGTATGACGAAAACTTCCCTATAGTTGCTCAATTATGTTCTCCATTTACTGTTATTGAAATTAAATTCTCATCTTAACGCAATATTACAAGTGTGTAAAAATTTTGGTTTTCAGACTGCAATTTGTATGAGCATGCATATAGGTACATACAGTATTCTCAAAATATTGCTTAAACAATAATGACATAAAACTGTCACATAATTAGATACATATTTCATCTACACAATGCTAGGTATTATCATTATATAATTACATTAAAAATCACACTGCTATATAAAATAATGTACCCTTACCACAGTTAGATTAGGCCTAAAATTATACTTATAGAAAAGCCTGATATGAAAAGCAATACAATATTTGAGTACCTAACATTATTAACTACATTGGCTCCTAAATTATTACGATACTATTGTTATATATTTTCAGAGTAATATATAAAAGCAAGTACGAGACGATATAATAATCAAACTGAAAAAAATTGCTTTTATATTGGATTTATTAAAAATATGTTGGTTATACAGTTTTGTTACTTACAGAAGCCCTCTCAACGGAGTTATGATTAATATTCATCCTTCCCTGAGCCATTGTACACAAACAGTTTCAGATTTGTAGACACTACTTATCTTCGAATTCTGTTATCATGCCACTTTATCATTAATCTCTACAAGTCAATAGAAGTTTCACTGGAGAGCAATGTGATGATAACATCACACCTGACTGCACTCAACAATGTGGTATGGGTAATTGCAAGCAGCCTCCATATTTTTTATATCACATAGGCTACCATCTGGTTTTCAGGTTGCATAACCTCATAGTGGATCATCATTTACAGATCTAGTTTGCACAAATTACAAATATGGATAAAAATACAGTACTAGACTCATTTAGTCCATTCATTAGTACAATAATAGAAACGGTGCTTGACATACAGGGATAATAAAAATTTTTAAACAAAACACACTATAAAATATCCAAAAGAAGTAAAAGCCCGTACCATAGATAAAACAGTATTTATGCCTGTACCAACAAATTTGCAATGCCACATTGATTAAACAAACATTTATTTTCACTACACTACCTACTATGAAAAGACCTGTTTTCGTTAAATGTTTATCACTTGAGAAAATTCATCATTACATTGTTTAATACGGATAAAGAATGTTTACTGTGTGAAAGTAACGTAAACTATCTTTTTTGATTTTGCCGAAGTAAAAGAACAAAGATTTGCTATATTGTGTAGTTGTGTCGACTGTTTCAATTATCTACAACTAAAACTGTACAATCAAAGTAAATATGCACTTTAAATTAAAGGCATGACCTAAAATATGCTATGCGTTTTGTAATGTTCCTAACTGTAATACAAAATGTCCAATGTTTGTTTTAATTAAGAAAATTATTAGTCTTTGTAGTGTAGCGAAAAGTAACGTTCAAAACACGAGTGAAAGTGGGTCTATACATATTCTAGACCATAAAGTGCTCGTCAAATCTCGCACTTCAAACATGGTCTCAGTAATGACTCACTTTCTACTCTTGTTATGAAATATACTATTATAAAGGTTTAAAACAGATGAACCACAAAGTAAAAAATCTCTCTAGCACTGTTCTCACTTCTGTAAACCTTACTGAATTTGAGGACAAGTTAATAATACAACTTTAACTTTATACTACCTGCTTTGGTTTTACTTAGGTTCAGTGTTTGTATAATATAACTATATACACCTAACCTACCTACACTACTTGATAGACAATGGTTCTTAGTCTGGGGTTGCATATTACAGTTTAATGCTCCAGTTTGTTGGAGTGTATTATGCATTGCCATTGTACCTGAATTAGAGTGTGTCATGCTGGTTACGACTTCCTATTACCGTCCAGTGTCAGACATTGATAAAGTGAACACTGTGAGCCCCAGCAGCAGCAGTGTGATGCTGATGACCAGAAGCAGCAGTGTGTCCCAAAGGCTAGACACCTTATCGGTGGTTGTCTTACAACTTGTCTTAGCAACAGTCAGGGCAGTGCCTTCGGTGGGAAGTCTCTTACTGTTTGTATTACCTTTGGTGTCTAGCTATAAACATTCACTTGCATTATTTTCTTATAATCGTATGTATTTGAGTACAAAACATTAAATACAAAATGCCAATGCACAGATTTATTAAACCACAGTATATCAAAACATTTTAATCAAATGAAACCCAATAATAAAATTTAATCATGTTGGATTTATTTGGGTACATATTAACTGATATTGATCTGATCCATGAGTACACATCACACCACGCCTGTGGGGAGAGATGGTGTTCTTGTGGAGGTGTACACATTACAAATCACATCCCCACCTAAGGGTAAAGGGAGTGATATACCAGTAATGGATGGGAACACATAACATCTTTTACTAAGTGGCAAAGGTGATGAACTGGTGGATAACTGATGAGTGCTTACAACATTACATCCATCTGGGAAAAGAGATGGTGATTTTGTGAGAGCGGTCTGTCGTTATTCCCTCAGGCATAAGAGAGCATACGGTGAGGGCGCTGGTTCAAAAACACTGGTTTGAACATGGTGAACAATATTACTGACGATTCGCCGGCTCCGTGTAAAAGTTGTAATAAACTAATTGAACGCGGCTGTCCGGGTATATACTGCGAAGGCTTTTGTGCAGGATGGCATCACCCAGTTTGTGTTGATGTTAACGAAGACAGTTATGATGAAATAAGTGAATTATCTGAACAAGTGAAGTGGTACTGCAAGTCGTGCACTGGTAAGGTGGACAAGGCGATTGCCAACGCTACTGACGAAATCCTAAACTTACGTGGATGTGTTGATAGACTAGTAAACTCTGTAAATGACTTAGTTTCTGACAATAAAAATATAAATAGGTCGATTGAAGTATTCTGAAGTATCTGCCTCTAATAAGAGGTTATGTAAATATCTTGTTGACGGACCTGAGACTACGGTAGTCAAGAGTATAATTGGGGGTAGCAGCTCCAGCTCGTTATTGACTTCAGCAGTGGTCAGATCCGGCTCCGGAGCGAATCAGACTAAGACTTTTGAATCTGAATTGGATTCAGGACTTATTGAGCTGAAGGGTGACTGTAGGATTGACCGACGCCACAACGATATTAGTCTGAGTCAGAAGAGTCAAGATCAGACTGAATCTGAATCCACTGCACTTGTAGCACCGAATCCATTTGACATTGACAACGAATGTTATGATGAGCAATTTCCACCAATTCAAGTGAATCAGGACGGGATTAGAGACAATTCGGATTGGAAAAAGAGTCCCAAAACGGCGAAATCGAGGTCGTGGTAGTATTGAGAAAAGGAAGCTAAATGAACCAAAAATTGGTACAAGGACTGAAATAGCAATAACGTCCAAGGTGCGTGCTGCTGAGCGGAAGAATTGGCTGTTTGTTTCGAGGTTATCGGTTGAAGTTAATAAGGATGACATCGTGGATTATGTAAAGAGCTATTTAACCGACATTGACGTTGACTGTGTTGAACTAAAGCCTAAACACGATTCCTATAAGTCCTTTAAGTTAGGCATGAAGACTGAAGACTATTCTAAAATTGCTGACTGTGGTTTTTGGCCTGTTGGGACCCTTGTGAGGGAGTTTGTCGAAAAGTCTTCTAGACCTATTAAGTCTAAGACTTTTTACCGAGACCTCAAATGAATCCAGGGTACCGGTAGTGAATTTAAATCTCTACTCGACAAACATCCAGTGTATCAGAATTAAAATATTAGAACTGGAACTTCTGTGTACACATAATAACCTGGATGTGCTTTGTGTAATGGAGCATTGGCTTCAACCTGATGAAGTTCAATTTTATAGTTGTATTGGGAACCTCAAGCTTGCCTCCCATTACTGTAGGACAAATTCTTATTCTGGTGGTGTTGCCCTATTTGTGAAATCCGGGCTGAAGTTCACCTGCTTGGATGTAAGCAATTTTTGTGAGGATTTCGAGGGTGAGTTTGCTGCTGTATTACTGAATGATTCGAATCTTATTATTGTTGCCATGTATCGTTCACCTAATGGTTCGGTTGATCGTTTTTTCGAACTGCTTGAACTCTGTTTAGCTTTCTTGACTGCATTTGGCCTGTCGGTGGTTATAGGTACAGACCATAATATAGACCTACTTAAGACAGGAAGGGATTCAATGGACTTTTTAAATACCCTCTGTAGGTTTGGTTTTTATAGTAGTGTTTTTGTGCCTACTAGGGACAAATCCTAGTATTTTTTTTTTTTTTAACAAATATTGACAGTTGAAACTATGTTGTTGTTGTCAGTGATAACATATAATTGCGGGCCATAGGCACATTTTCTTTCAGCTTAAATGTACTAGGCCTATAGCTCAGGAGGATCGGTCAAGCAATCTGACAAAATCTGTATCATTCATATTATTTAACAAGACTCGTTTCAATGTTTTTTGTGACGAGATTGGGAGTCAAGTAACAGTGTGGTTTAATGAGACTTGTGGACTCCCAGCAAATGATGCATTTAACAGTTTCTTTCAAAATTTTAAGGGTAAATTTGACTTCTATTTTCCTGTAAAACGCAAGGCAGTAGCTTCACGTGACGGTGTATCTAAGGACGGGCCTGCAAAGAGTCATGTTAGTAATTGGTACACTGATGAACTTGCTGACTTAAAAAAGTACATACTTCTTGTTCATGATATGACGAAAAGTAGACCCGGTGTTACTCCTTATCTTCGGGAATTGCGAAGAAACTATCGACTAAAGCTACGAGAGGCGAAGCTGGCTGCAGCGGCTGATAAAATATCCAGGGCTGCAAACCCGTATAAGGCTGCTTGGGACCTGATCAATAAACGTGGAGCTGGTTCCTTGGGTGTTGATGGCAAGTTTGCTTCTGCTGAGGAATTCAACCACTTTTTTGAGACTCGGTGGCTGATATTGTAAGTGGGATTCCTGTGAATGAGTATAATTATATAGATAGCATTCCATTGGCCCATGTACATTTCCAGTGGAGAATGGTGAATGCCTTAGATATTGTAAATACTGTAAATAGCTTTAAATCCTCTAATAGTAAGGATATTTATGATATGTCGGCTAATTTTATGAAAAGGATTGTCATTTTGATTGCTCCAATCTTGGTCCATCTGTTTAGCCCTGCCTTCTGCAGGGTGTTTTTCCTGATGTACTGAAAGTATATAGAACAGTGCCAGTATACAAAAAGGGCCCTAGGAATGTAATGGAGAGTTTTAGACCAGTGTCTTTAATACCGGTGTTTGGTAAAGTATTTTGGTGATCATGTTGAATCAGCTCTGTGACCACTTTGAGGGGAATAACCTCCTTGCCCCTATTCAACATGGTTTTCGGAGGGGAAGGTCTACAGTTACGGCTGTAGATTCTCTCCTTCAAGTAATCTTGGAAGCTTTTGAGAGCAAGTCGTCAACTGCTGCTCTTTTGTGCGATTTATCTCGTGCGTTTGACTCTGTTCCTCAGGACAACTTAATTGAGAAATTTAAGAAGTATGGCATTGGGGGGAGTGCCCTCAAGGTGGTGCAGTCTAATCTAGACAATAGATCTCAGATTGTAAGTTGGAATGGTAGCAACTCGAGTGCCATTGAGGTCAGATGTGGAGTCCCGCAGGGCTCAGTGTTAGGGCCCTTCATTTTCATTGATGCCATGAATGATCTGTATCATTGTGTTTCTCATGACATGTTGTTGTATGCGGATGACACTACTTTGCTTAGGAACCATCC